GTGTGTCCAGAAACAGCAAGCAGTTTCGAGTACTGTGATGCTGAACTTTACATGAATGGCTTTCTGTAGTGAGAAGGCGCCTATCACCCACAGCCTGCAGAGGCTGCGTGGCTTGGGGGAGGCTAGAGGCCCAACCATGGGCCTCCCTCCCCTGGTCTCTTCAGCAGCTTTTCCCAAACCCACTGAGACGGGTCAGGCTCCTAGAGAGCCTAAGAACAAAGCCCCTTTGTGACTTTTGTTTTGAATCAGGCTTGTGACAAAGGGGAGGAGCCACTGGGCTGGGTGGATGGGGGTGCCCGGAGCGTGTTGTTGTTACAAGGGAAGAAAGCAAAATTGTGTCTTTTTTTTCTCTGGCCATGTTGTCTTGCCAATCCCTCCCTCCCCCAGCTCTCCGAACAGCGGGATTTCCCAACGGCAGCTTGGGAAAAAGACCCAGTGGCAGCTTGGGGAAAAGACCCAGCGCTCCGTTTAGAAGCAACGTGTATCAGCCAACTGAGATGGCCGTCGTGCTCAATGGTGGGACGGTAAGTATCAAGGTGTGATGGGTGGGCAGGAAGCCTAGGAGTCTACGGTGTGGGGGAGCAGCTTCAACAGGGACATGCTCCTCCATGGAGGCTGCTCATGTGGCCTGCAAAGACCGCAGCTCAAATGCATGCAATGCTTTTATTTTTCTTCTTTCCCTTTCTACCCCTTTTCTCCATGCACGGAATATCTGCCTCTATTTAGAAAACCATCTGTAGATTCGTTTGAAAGAGTTTGTATTCCGTGAGGCTCTTGCACCAAGTGAATTATGTGGCTTTTATAATACAGTGCCCCAGCTTTGTCCCTGGGAGGTGACTTTTGGGAAAAGCCCAGAAGAAGGAAGCGCCCCCTAGCAGATTTTGCTGACATCCAACCTAGGTTAAGGTCCCGGGTCGCCCCTCTGTGGATCCCCCAAGCTGGGTACCAGGTTCTCCCATTCCCTAAGAGATGTCCCAGGAGATTGAAGGAGCTATTATTTCTCCCCCTCAAACACCAGAAGCAGGTTTACTACTATCTGATGCCAAACAGACCTTCAGCAGAATTGTCATTACTTACGTTTGCCTCCGTGGAATGACATTATTTTGTTTCTCCAGCAATCCAAAGATGCACTCTCATCCCCACATTTAATTTCCAAACATAGCTACATGCTTGTTTCAGAAACAAGGCCTGAGCCAGTTTACATGTGTAAATTGATTTCCATTCTTTATATCATGTTCCAACTCCATAATTCAACCTGAGCATTCTTTTTTCTTTTTTTTATTGATGTAAATCAGGGATAGTCTTTGATCTCTAGAGGGAATTTAGGTTTTCCTGGCCTTTTGAATGGTATGCTAGGCATTGGTTTGCATTGGTTTGGAACAGGCTCAAAGACAGAATCACAGATTTGCATTCTTAAAACCCCCTGCCATCCGCTGGGCTGTTTAATTGTCCAGTGCCAAGAAAAGCCTGATTCACAAGCATTCGGCCTGTGTGTTATAATAAATATGGTTACAAAAGCCCCCTTGCGTCACTCTTAAGCCCTCCTAGTTCCTTCAAGGCCAGCATGTGAAAAAATAGTCAAGACAGAAAGTAAATGAGTTGAACTTACGTTCCTTAGGGGTGGGTGATTATCACAGAAAAGGGAGCTGAGCTTCCCAAGAACCGCAGCAGCATGACACACAGCCATTGCTGCCTTTCCTGGGAATTACTCGGCCTGCCTAGGTAAAAGCAAGGTAACTTATTTTTGCCACATTGTTTACGCATTGGTTTCTAATGTTGACTTTGCAAAGCACAGAGTTCTCAGTGTGTTATCCTTATGTTATTCCAGATCCCAACTGCTCCGCCAAGTCACACAGGAAGACACCTTTGGTGAAAGACTTTAAGTTCCAGAGAATAAGAATCTCTCTTACCGATTTCCCTCCCTGGCTGTGTCTTTCTTGAGGGAGAAATCGGTAACAGTAGCCGAACCAGGCCGCCTCACAGCCAGGAAATTTGGAAATCCTAGCCAAGGGGATTTCGTGTAAATGTGAACACTGACGAACTGAAAAGCTAACACCGACTGCCCTCCCCTCCCCTGCCACACACACAGACACGTAATACCAGAGCAACCTCAATCCCTGCAAACTAAAGCCAAGCTAATTGCAAATAGTATTAGGCTCACTCGAAAATGTGGCTGGGAAGACTCTTTCATCCTTTGGGGGTAGAACAGAACCAAATTCACAGCTGGTGGGCCAGGCTGGTGTTGGTTGGAGGTGGGGGGTCCCCACCCTGGCACCCCTCCCCAGCAAGTGCTGGACCCCAGGTGGCCTCTTGGAGATGACCGTTGCGTTGAGGAGGACAAATAGGGACTTTTCCACCGGCTTGCCTGGTGGTTTGCACATTTCAGGGGCGTCGTGAGAGTTAAGGAGGTTGTGGGTGGGATTCCAAGGCAAGGCCCAGCTGAATCGTGGGGTGAGCTTTATAGCCAGTGGAGGTGGAGGGACCCTGGCATGTGCCAAAGAAGAGGCCCTCTGGGTGATGAAGTGACCATCACATTTGGAAAGTGATCAACCACTGTTCCTTCTATGGGGCTCCTGCTCTAGCGTCTATGGCGAGAACACAGGCCCCGCCCCCTTCCCTTGTAGAGCCATAGAAATAGTCTGGCTTGGGGCAGCAGTCTCTTCTTCCCTTGATAGTCTCGCCCCGTACCTGCACTTACGGGTGTTTCCCTAAACCCTTTCCCAATTTTGTTCCCTTGTTCATTTCAAGAGCTCCAATGGGATCCCCAGGTTAAAGCCCCTCCAGGAGGCAGGTTGGAAGGCAGGCATCACGGCAGGTTTTCCGAGATAATGTCACCTAGCGGAGCTTCGGGGGTACCCGCTAGGATGCAGAGGTGACATCCCGCTGCCCCGCAAGCAGTGACACCTTGGGTCCTTTCCGTGGATGTGGTGAAGGTTCCTGGGTGGAATGGATCACATGAGGGTTTCCCGTTGCTTTTGGAGGGTGTGGGGGATATTCGGTCTTGGTTCTTCTGCAGGTTCCATGAAAACGGCCCTTTTCCAAGCTCATTGTTTCTGTCATGGTTTCCATCCCTCCTGAGCAAGTCATTCCTTTGTTATTTGGCATTTTGAACATCTCGGCCATTCAAAGCCCCACGTTCTCTGCTCTGTTTGGCCAGCATAACCTCCAGCATCGATTCAAAGCAAAGAGTTTTAACCTGACGGCATGGAATGTATAAATGAGGGGGGGTCCTTCTGCAGATACACTAATCACTACATTGCTTTTTCTATAAAACTACCCATAAGCCTTTAACCTTTAAAGAAAATGAAAAAAAAGGTTAGTGTTTGGGGGCTGGGGGAGGACTGACCTCTTCATAAGCCAGTACGTCTGAGCTGAGTATGTTTTAATAAACCTTTTGATATTTCCTGAGGCCCTAGTCTCTGCTGTCACCCCTTCCCACCCCATCCTTGCAAAATGCTGGGGAAAATAAGGCCAATCTGGCCCTCCCTGTGTGGCCCTCCTTCGAGTTTCCCTAAACAGCTAGTGCATTTCCTTGTGTTGCACGCATGGCCCCAGAATGCCGCCCCCACCTGCCCGCCCCGGAAGCATCCCGCCTCTGCCCAGAGCATGCGCTTGCTTCCAGAGAATCCTGTTCCAGTCGTTACGTGGACTGAAAACGTGAGTCCTGGGGAGGGGGGGGAGGGAACGAAGCTAGGACCTGGGGTGGGGGTAGTTGCATGCAGACCCCGTATTCTGAGACAGAAAGAAAGCTTTAAACACCTCACTCCTGTCCGGTGAAAAACGACAGCCTTACACATTCTCGTGCCAGGAAATGGTTACTCACCCCCGCTCTCTGGAGTCCTTTGGAGCTTTCTGATCCCATTCACACTATGGAGCAATTCACACCGTCGTTTTCTCTCTAAGTTCTTTATTGTCCAAGCATATAAAGTGAGCACAGCACAAATGACTGCCAATGGAAAGTCATGCTTCCCCGACATAAGAACAGAACCATCTTTGAGCCACGGGAAACCTCACTAATGAGACCTTCCCCCCGCCCCTTTTAAATCCGATATGTTATTGCACTTAGGATTTTGTTTTATTTTGGCTTTTAAGGTTGAGCGTGGGCTGAACGCCTTCACAATGGGGGCGGAGGCGGGAGTGAGGGGAGAAGGGAATGAGCTGTTCTTTTTCTAATGACTTCACCTGAAAACTACCAAGAGGCATCTTATTTGCCAAGAGACTGTAGCAGCCAGCTGCCCCCAATGGAGCAAGGTTTAAAGACAAAATTAAATGGCACCTCTGTTTAAGATCTGTTTGTGTAAACAAGACTTGTTTGGGGAAAACGACCTGGGAGGAGAGCATCTGTGATCAAAATCTCTCATTGTAAGCACAAATCGTTCCGTGTCTGGTTCCTAAAATCGCTTTGGGACTATAACAGCCACTCTTGTCCCCCCTTTTAATAGAAAATTGGCGTTCTATCCTGGATTTCTCCCCACTGGAGATGGAGGGCGGGAAGAGAGGGAGTCAGCTCTGACAGCTTACACATGGGGAAGTTCCGTGCATCTCAAGGGTTTCCCGAGTGGAAGGTCTGGTTGTTGGAAGCTGGGCGCCCCGTGCGTTTTTTTGTTTCTTTTTTTTTTTGGCCTAGAGGCCGTCAGGGCCCGCTGAACTAGGGTGAAGTGGGGTGGTGTCTTGGTTGGCCAAGGCTGAGTGAATGTCTCAGGCCAAACCCCAAACTGAAAGGGAGCATTGTGGCTTTTATAATCCAATGACGCAATGATGATACCAGCTTACAGGAGTTCTCAGCAGGTGCTTTTTATTAATCGACGAAGAGCTAAGGCTCATTTTTGATAGATAATATATATTTATTAAATGCATTAATGTGTGTTTTATAATGTACCTTTATCTTCCCCCTGGCTGACTGTTGCATACTTATAAAAAAAAAAAAGTTAAAGAAATTTCAAGACAATCAATATGTACCATAAATGACTATATAAATACAAATTTAAAAGGTTGTAAAGCATGGGCAGATAGGTTTTATTTTCAGAATGCTGTTCTTAACACGAAAATAAAGGCTTTACTATTTACTGAAGACGTGTAGTAGCTTGTCCAAACAACCCAGTGCAACTAACTGCTAGGCTTTCGGGTCTGCCCTGAGGCTCACAGTCTGTGGCATTTTAAATGGGACAATCTTGGTTAACAGAAAACCACAGAACAAATTAGGGTAATAAGTTTATTTAGCCATAAAAGCAGGAACTTTCTATATAATACTTTGGGACTTAAGACAAAAATTATTTGTTTCATCTGTCTGGGTTTAAATGTCTCATCTTGTTGGGTTTGCAATAAAATTTCAGGGCGGGTCTCCTTTGAAAATGATCATAAGTATAAGGTCTTTTTTATAAAAAGACTAGTAGTCAGTCACCAGGTAAACTTAAAACCCAATTCAGAGGTTGGGGACTTCAATTAGAATATGGATCTTTGCAAAGGCAGCCAAAAGTGAGAAAACTCGTAATAAGAACACTTCTGGATCCCTTGGAACTGGAGTTCATTGTACATTTTAACAGCAGCTGGTGTAGAAGGATACCTCTGAGGCACTGAAGAAATATCTGGATGAATGAATAAAATGTGGGGATAATGCAGAAAATGAAGACTGGTCCTTTCTTTTCTAAACTATTTGCACTAAAGCATGTTTGCAACAAATACTGTCTTGTACAGAAAAGATTCCATGTTCACATGTTCCAAGTCTTGTTAAAGAAATCACAAGAGAGAAAGCATTATTTGGACATTTTCCTTGCACAAGGTAACCTGTGCTCAGATGGGCAGAGATACATCTTAACTGTGGTTAAGATGATGGAATTTTCATTTTGGCTGCAGGTACCACATCATCCTCCATTTTGCATTTCACTGCAAAGAAAAGAAAGGGGAAGTCAGGATCAATTTACATACGCAGACAGGCTTGTCACTGGGAAACCGGAAACGTTGATGTGTGGACAAGGTCAGTTGCACCAAAACCCACTGTGCGCCTGCTATTCATGGTTCCTGCACTGTGGATCCGGAACGGGGAAGAACACAGCCCCATTGTGCTCTAAGGCCAGCACCTGAAGGTTCCAAACCACTTCCGGGACTGCTCCTGGCCATTAATTCAGTTCAGAAAGAGGTCAGAAGTGTGCTTTGTCGGTCGGGGTACTGAAGGAAGGCAGTTTTACTAAAGATGATGACAGATTCCAGGCTCTCCACTCATCCCCATCTGTCACCACACGCCCTGTTCTCCAGCCACCCAAAAGGGAAAACTCAGGGTATCACTGGGGTCAATGAAAAGGTCAGAAGATAATCTTTTCTCTTTTTTCATGGTCTGGACCAAGAACCTGATCTCGGAGATTTCCTGTGTCTGCCAAACAGGAAAGTTAGCTCCATACAGAGCATGGCTCTGTTTGTAAGGGAAATTAATCCCAACCGATAAAAGCCTTTCCCCAAATAAATATGGAAACCCAGTTCTTTGGTGGGTACACAGGACAGAGGGATCATTTTGGAAAGATCCTCTCTTTTAAGACGTCTTTGCCTGTAGTGTCCAAGTGCTTGCCCATATGGGAATGTCTTGAGAGGTTGTTTGAACCAGGCCACAGGCTCTGATGATTTGTGGAGAGCATCGTTCTGGTAAAAAGGGTGTTTGAGCTTGTTACCATGTAGGGCTGAGGTTTCAATTGAACCTGCCCCCGTCCTGACCGCCCAGCAACTATGGGCATGCACCAGCCAGAGGAGGTAAAGAAGTGGGTATGTACATCGTCTCATGAAATGCATTCTTTTGTTGTTTTTTGGGGGACAGAGTCTCTCAGTTATCCAGCCTGGATTGCAGTGACAAATCTCGGCTCACTGCAACCTCAGCCTCCTGAGTAGCTACAGGCATGCACCACCATGTCCTGCTAATTTTTGTATTGTTAGTAGAGACGGGGTTTTGTCATGTTGCCCAGGCTGGTTTTGAACTCCTAGCCTCAAGTGGTCCACCCGCCTCAGCCTCCCAAAGTGCTGGGGTTATATATAGGCCTGAGCCACTGTGCCTGGCCCTAATGTGGTTATTTTCTGATGGAGGTGGGATGACTGCCTTCAGCAACACAGACCAGCCCCGCAGTCTTCAAACTGAGAGCAAGGGTTCTTGGTCATGGTTCATTCAAAGGAAATCAGTTTCCAGGTCTTCAACTTCCCATCCTCTTTTCCTTCCTGGCCCGGTGTGTAAAAACTCCCCAAGTGCCAAACAAGAAGGCCGTTCCAAATGAGGCCTCCAGAGTCTCCTTTATTCTCTAAGTTTGACAACTATCAAATTGTATCATGTATTTAGTTGGTTTTATGTACCAGTAATAATTGTATTAACCCAAATCAGAAGAAATATTTTTAATATTTGGAGCCTGTGGTCTCAGGATATTTTAAAACATTCTTTTCAGTGTGTATACCTTTTTTGTTCCACATAAATGGAAGCTCTATGGGCAACCGCAGTGAAGACCCTATGTGCATCTAGACTCTATTAATGATGACACTGACCCTTCATAGTCAAGGATGCACCACACCTCCCCAAAGACTCTCCCACTATCTCACTGATCCCTGAGATGCTGGTGATTAACAACTCAACAGGGATTGGGGAGAGTCCTGAGTTGTAGTATTTGCCATTTCCATGGCCTATTGGAAGCCAGCAGCCTGACGACGTAACAGTCTGGAAGCGATGTGCACAGTCAGATGGAGCTGGGCTGCCCTAAATCCTCAGATTGACTTGTACAGCATCAGGCATAACTTCAGACCTGCAGGCTGGCTCTCTAGGGACAAGTTGGGGACATTTGCAATAGGGGGAAATTGTTAGAAATGCAAATTCAGGGCCCTTTTCCAGGCGGACTAAACCAGACACATAGATGGGAGGGTGGAGGGGTGGAGCCCATCCGTCTGCATTTTAACAAGGCCTCCCAGTGATTCTGATGGATGCTAGTTAAAATTTGACACCCACTGACTACTGGTTTTCTACCCTGGCTGCATGTAAGAATCACATGGTCAGCTTCTGAAATTTTATTGGTGCCTGGGTTTCATCCCAGCAATTCTGATGTAATTACCCTGGGGCCCAGGCATCAGTAGCTAGGTAAAGCTCCTGTGTGTTGCTAAGGTGCAGTCAGGGCTGAGACACAGATGGGGTTAGAATCCCTTTAAAGAAACATGACTGTAAGATCCTCGGAGAAATCTAGAATTATCCTCAACTTCTTAGCATCATGCAGGCTGGAAATAAACTGTGAGTATCACAGTTTAAACTGCTAGAGAGATAGCTGGTAGTCAGTCCGGGCGCGGTGGCTCACGCCTGTAATCCCAGCACTTTGGGAAGTTGAGGCAGGTGGATCATTTGAGGTGGAGTTCATGACCAGCCTGGCCAACACGGTGAAACCCTGTCTCTACTAAAAATACAAAAATTAGAAAAATTAGATGGGCGTGGTGGCGGGTGCCTGTAATCCCAGCTACTCGGGAGCCTGAGGCAGGAAAATCACTTGAAGGGAGGCAGAGGTTGCAGTGAGCCAAGATCGCACCACTGCACTCCAGCCTGGGTGACAGAGCAAGACTGTCTCGAAAAAAAATAAATAGATAAAAAAGAGAGCTGGCAGACAGACAGATGCTGGAGGCAATTAGTAGCTGGAGGGAAGGACTGGCTTCTGGGAGGAATCCCCGGCCCTTGAGTTTTCTTTAGTTTTCTTGAACTGCCTGAAGGAAGAGTTGACCTGCAAGCTGTTGTCCTGGCATTTTACCCAATTCCTGTCCATGCCTTGACAATCTTGCCCACCCCCTACCAGCTGACCTTATCTGGGAAAAGGCCCCTTAGTATCTCTTCAGATCATCACTCAGAAATCTTGAGAGAGGAGAGCAGAAAGGAATAAGCTAGAGACCTTGTTGACAGTGGAGGGGTAAGAGATGGGGTATGTCGAGCTGACAGGCTGGAAATAAAGGTGGGCTGTGGAGACTCCCAGTGGAATTACCTGGGGAGTTTTGAACACCCTACACAATTAGGTCACCGTCTCTGGAAGCACAACCACATTGGAAAACTGCTTGGCATTACCAAGTGAAACTGAGCCTGACAGTGAATACAGACAATTCCACTCCTGTATCCTACTGAAGAAACCCTTCTATACGTGTACTGGGAGGATGCTCGTGATAGCAAAAACCTGGAAACAACCCAAACATCCTTCAACAGTTGACTGGATAAACCAATTGTGGGCTACTTGATCAGTGATTACACAGCAGTGAGCACGAGTGAGCCATAGCCACACACATCAACTTGGATTAGCTTAAAAACGTTAAAGGAAAGAGGAGTGGCGTGGAATAACACATATAGTGTGATTCTATTTATAGCAAATCTAAATGCTGAGAGATGTGTACAAAGGTGAAAAGAGCTCCAAAGAAAAGCAAGAGAACAGCTATCACAGAAGTCAAGGGAAGTGGCTTCATGGGGGAAGAGCTTTAAAAGTGTTGACTGTTCTGTTTGTTTGTTTGTTAAATGTTTAGAGACAGTCTTGCTCGGTTGCCCAGGCTGGAGTGCAGTGGTGTGATCGTAGCTCACTGCAGCCTCTGATTCCTGGGCTCAAGCAATCTTCCACAAATGTTTTATTTATTGTTATATGTGTCTTATAGTCACTGTTAATACGTATATTTCACCCCAAAAATGGTAAAAAAAAAAAAATAGATATACGCGTATATTGCTTGAAATTGCAAAGCCAACCAATAAAGGAATGGAAAATAACTATGTTGCTGTTTTGGGGAAGGGAGGGATAGAATCTAAGCTAACCCTCATCAGTAATGGCAGGAAATCAGTAGATCCTATCAAAAATCTTATTACCGTACAAGCCTTTTCCGGATACAGCAGTGATGCCCTGAGGAGCAGCAGAAGTTCCAAGTCATTGTGTCTGGGGAAGCACTACTTTGCTAAAAATTAAGCAACAGATAAAATGTCTACTTGGTGGTCTTCCTCCTCCTGGCTTGGCAGGATACAGCCTTGCACAGGTGCGTACTTGATCAGCAGAGGGAGGGAAAGAGGAGGGAAGCAGGGCTGAGAGAGGCAGGAGGGAAGGAGCAAGCCAGGATGCTGCCGGAGTGCAGCTTGCACCTTAGCTCGGAGACATCATCGTGGTTGGCTTCCAGTACCAATAGACAGATGCCTCGGTGCCCCTACGCTGTCCTTGTCCCTCTCGGCAGGCTGGTACCCAGCCAATTCCGGAAGGGCTGGGAGAGTGGAAAATCCCGGAGAGAGATACGCCAGCCCTTCAGCTTCAATTAAAGGCAATGTGACAAGAAGGGCCTTGCATACTAATGAGACTTGGTACATCTTCTCCTCGTGGTCGCCCTTATCTTCTCCCGTTCCTGTGAGTGACAGGACTGAGAACTCAATTCACAACCCAGAGGAAAACCTCCCAGCCAGCAGCACAGGACAGATAAAGAAGATGCCTAAAGCTCAAGACAGGAAATGTGGGGACCACAAGGTCATCCGGCCACTCACAACGTTGTCCAGACAGGGCTTCAGCATAAAAGGATGGCCTGGGGTGAAAATACAGATTCCTGGGCCCCGCCCCAGACCTTAGAATCAGAATCTCCAGGAGTGAGGCCTGGGAATCAGTATCCCCCTCCACCTCGGTGCTGTGGGTGGGCGTTTTGATCTGGCAAATGTGGGAAAGAAGGCTGATTTGGGCAAGTCTGGGAACCTGTGCCTGTTTCCTGAGGGCCTGAGTCAACTGTGAGCCAGGGTTGAGAATGGCATCTGCCTCCTAAGGGCACTGAGAGAAGCAAAAGAGGCAAGCCACACAAAATGCAAAGTGCTCAGCACTGGTTCTGACCCACAGTTAGGCACTTGATAAATATCAGCTGTTATTAGTCCCATTTTTATTAAGGCCAGG